TACAACTGTTCGACACTTTTGCTATCTATCCAACCATAGGAGTTTTGATTTACCAACGAAAATCCTTAAGCTAAATGATGCTTTCGTGGATGTATTCTACAAAATCAACCACCACATATTTCTGCAGATACTCGTTTCCGTGCACCCTTAAATCGTTTCATGCAACGATCAACCGAACTTACATACATCACTCCTGAAGGATAGGTAGAGTGAGATAGTCGAGGTAATAATTTTTACTCGTGCACATGTTAAGAAATTGTTAATAAAGTTCAAGATGCTAATAATAGTTTTGGTGATCTTCGTATCAAAATGGATTATTCTATACCAAAAAGTAAGCGACATGCGCCAAGTGACCGACTTGATGCTTGAATCTGCGACACACAAAGTATTCTGAAGATGCCAAGGACAAATAATCGATCACTACGATAAAACTGGACATAAAGACAAAAGTGCAGGTCTGCAATCCGTACGACACGATCGCGCTACGCTGTATCACAGCTAGGAATGCTTTAAGCTTGTGGAAACACCCGTGTTCTATGTGAAGATTTTATAACCGTTGTTGTATTCCGCTCTTTGGGTCATGCGGACGCGGAGCTAATGAATGACTATAAAGTATTGTCTCAGTTGAGTCATGTAGCTGATCTATCTCTTCATCCGATTTTTGTACTGCTGGTTCAATCAAGCCAATTTTGATCAAATCGCGGGCCCAAAGAAGGGACACGAATCGTGACCGACGCTTTTGACCCACATGCTGATATGTTTGAGGATAATCAGCGCGCTTGGTTCAATAAAATGCTCAGAGGTGTATCGGCTCCGCTAATACTACTCGATGAGTATCGCGCCATCTATCCCCATGTGAAAAAATGATCTGTTCGATGCATTTTTCCAGGGTCATAACAAGTATTCCGTAAATTAGAGGGCACACTCATTCTAAAGACTCGTTTCCACACACACTGGCGATCAATTTACAATATCATTTGCCATTTTGCCATTATCGAGAGTGGTGCAAAACATTTTCAAGCCAGAAAGTTGAGATCGGCCTTGTTATATTCTCGCCCTTGTTAATAGCTGTATCAGAAGGCTTATGCCTTTGAGCTGGGCTGCTAGAAGATCAAACTGTATAAAATGACGAGAGCCTGCCCTCGACGTTAATGTCGAGCTTGGGCTCCGCAATGTCAGGTTCCAAGCAATGTTCGAGTTGAACATCTGTTTCTTGAATAATAGTTTGCAGTTTCGCAAAAAGCGCTGAGGGGGTGAGCCTTCCCCAGAATTTGGGGGTTTTGATCAGTATCAGTGGCCAAGATTGTCGATTGAACGGCGTGAGGTGTGACAGTGTGGAGTCAGAATGGGCTAATTTAATCAAATATTGCGTACGTATTCCAGTCTGAGTCTTAGCTGCAGGCCCACACACTATTGCCGCAGTGTGTTGCGCGGCATCTATTCGAGTGAGTCGATGATAACCATTGTCTAATCGTTCAGGTTCTTTTTTTTACGGTTTCTGTGACCCATGTAGCACTTTGAATACTGGGCAGGCCAAGTTCATTTTTCGGACACTGACCTCAGTATTATCCTTGCGGTAGAAAGTCGGACCGCTTATATATTTGTGGAATGGCGCAGAGACGCAGTTCACACGAATGAAAGCGTGGATGCTGAGGACGTGAAAGCGTTAAGAATATTATGATAAATGACAATTACAAACTCGTACAGCCTTAAGAGAAGGCTGAGGTTGAACTTGATCAGTCACTTGGACTGCTTTAATGAATACAGAAACTTGGTACGTACTGTACTATTGGGTACATTCACCTCGTGCTTCCGTAAAATTGTGCAACATACAATATTGTACAATTGTACGAGAGCCACATCACATTTTTGTGCAATTGTAAATACTAAATTATAAAAAATTGATGTCAATCAAGACGTGTCGGAGAAGTTTGCATTACACATGGGCTGCTAGCCACACGGCCATTAATAAGGACAGTTTTATTTGCGATACGGCAACGTATATACTTTATTGTAGCCTCGATATAATTAGATTCTAACAGGGGTCCCTCTTAAAATAGCAGAGGTAGAGGAAAACATAGGTTCCATAGCATTTTTGGGCTCCGCACTATTTGAATCGTACGAATCCAACCTATGTGTATTCCAAGTCGAATTCTTTGAGCCAAATCATCCGATGTGGAAGGCGCGCGGATTTTCTGTTGTACTCGCAAAATGTGTAGTCGATGTGACGACCGACCCAAATATTCTACGAGAATACATCAAAAGCGGTTTGACTATATATATATGTCACATGGATACCTAGACACAGTAAAAAGATCTTATGCAATTTTCGGCTGATCGCGAGGCGATATTTTGCTCAGCGGCGCAAGAGCCAAACGGGCGGCGGGACGTCGGTAATCACTTACGAGAGTACGCGGGCGAGGCACCGCCAGAAATACTTTAGTCAGCTCTCAGTTGGAGCGCAACTGATGCGGCTTTGAAGCCATACGAAGTCAAGCGCTATTCAATTTAATAATGCGGCGGATAAAATAACGCGCTCTGGATGACGGAAGTTGAGATAGCTGTAGGAATATGGCCATGTTCTAGACTGAGGTAGAGCGTGTCGCGAATCATGATTTACAAACAAAGGGCCGCGCGCATGAATGGGTATCAACTTATAGTTCTTCCGTGAAGAGACATTACCGACACGATAATAGTTAAGTTGACGTATCCCGCGCGTGCTCGAATCACCTAACTACGCGTATGGAGTGCGCTCCACGTTCCCGTCTTGTGTCATCGAAGGCAGAAGATAGTGAAATACGTCCGGGAGTTATACTTACCGACGCAATGTTGTCACACCCTCATTCGAAAACGGTAGTAGCCATCATATCTACGATGGGTCTCCGCTGAACTGATCAGCGCGCCAGTGGCGACGATCCTAAGCCATACTGTAGAGAAAGGTAGAGATCTTTGGGCCGCCCAACAGCTCCGAAGTACATATTTTGCCTGTGATAGTACGAAACATGTGTGCCATGCATATCCAGTGTTGCTCGGCTTAAAGGAACGAAAAGTCAAGCTCCACGCAAGGTCGACTCGTGGGGAAACGTCAAGTCTCAGTAGCCCACTCTGTGCATACTTAAAAAAATGAGTCTATTATATCTCGTGGAGGTCGCAGCCAATTGAGACTAGCTCTAAGAAAAGCGACTAACTCCAAAAATGAAAAGATCCACAGCCAAGAGTTTATTACTATTCACATCAATTTTTTTGTTAAGCCGTTAAAAGTCAGGGCGGACTTTTGAAAATTCAGTTACTTTGATAGTTCCTGAGAGCCGGTAAAAACTCTGACGATAAAAACACGAGAAGTTTCATCGACCATCGGAGTGTTTAAAACACTAGAACGCTTTTCTCCGTCGAAAAGCTCGTTGATACATAGCACAACCTTTCGAAAGCAACTCCAACTCGTTCTTGTATTGACAAAAATCACAACCAAAATGCCCCAAATGCTAACGACAATGTATAAGCAAGAAGAGCAGGGCCACAGCAAAAACGTTATCGTTACAGTTGACGCTACGGCTCAAATTTAGGGTCTGACAAACAGAAAAGATGATAAGGGGACGACTGTGTGCTGGTCAGTCACACTCCACCGTCGCTGCTCGATGAGCAAGGGGTGACCCACTTATACATAGTGCGTTTTGTGAAGCGGTTAGTACATCAGGGCTATGCTTCATTTATAAAACTTGTGTAGCTGGCAGGTTTGCTCTGATTGCCGTGTTTGCTTATAATATGGTGTACTTTGAGCCTGTACCTTTTTTGCAGAAGAGGCAGGACCACCCGTCGCAGCGTGCTTCCCATTAGTGCTAGGCGAGTGACATTGCTGTGAAAGGTTTGTAACTGTTATAGATTCTTCGTCCAGAAAAGCGGGATCGCGGACAGCAGGAACTGGATGTGATGGTTGTTAC